CGGCTTTACTTGAGGCTCCAATCTGCCTGAAAATAAAAGCTAGAAAAAGTTAAATATTTAATTCTAAAAGAGAAATGTTCTGTTGGCATTTTATATGTAGGTGTAAATGTAGCTAATTTTATTCTAATGATATTTATTCAGGAAACATTGAGTAAACACAAGGATGAATTATTATTATTTTTTTCCAGCAGAGACAGTGTTCCATGCGCCCACATATCACATCGGGGATTTGCAATCAGTAAAACATCATCAGACATTGCTGACCTCTGAGCACCATACTTCTTTAGCACCTGAGGACTGAATGTCTTACTAAAGGGCACCAAACATTCAGAGGCTGCAGAGGAGGAGAGCTCAATTCATTAGATTTCCCTAAAGCTACATCAACTGCTAGTTATTTTATTAAAACCAACAACAGTGAAAAACACAATTCATATTTAATTTACATGCTGAAAAAGCCACCGCAATAATGGAATAGATCAATGTCTTAAGAAATATATGTATATATACATATATACATATTTAAATCAGGATATTGCTGACCAGTACCTCATACATCTGTTGTAAATAAATAGTGCTAAAAAGAAGTCTGAACTCTCTTAATCCATCCATCCATCCATCCATCTATAGTTCCAAAGTCAGGTCGCGGGGGCAGCAGCTTGAGCAGGGAGGTCCAGACATCTCTTTCCACAGCCACCTCTTCCAGCTCTTCTGGGAGGACCCCAAGGTGTTCCTAGGCCAACCAAAAGACGTAGTCTCTCCAGCGTGTCCTGGGTCTTCCCCTGGGTCTCCTTCCAGTTGGACTTGCCTGAAGCATCTCCCTAGGGAGGTACCCAGGAAGAGTCCTTACCAGATGCCCAAACCACCTCAACTGCCTCCTCTGGATGTGGAGGAGTAGCAATTCTATTCTGAGGCTCTCCCGTATGACTGAACTTCTCATCCTATCTGTAAGGGAGAGTCCAGCTACCCTGCAGAGGAAACTCATTTCAATCGCTTGTATCCACAATCTCATTTTTTCCATCACTTTCCAGAGTTCATGACTATAGGTGAGGGTAGGAACGTAGACTGACCGGTAAACAGAGAGCTTTGCCTTACAGCTCAGCTCCCTCTTCACCACAACAGACTAGTACATAGTCCACAACACTGCAGATGCTGCACCAATCCGTCTGTGAATCTCTCACTCCATTCTTCCTTCACTTGTGAAGAAAAAAACCCCGAGATACTTGAACTCCTCCACTTGATGCAGAACCTCACCCTCAACTCGAAGAGAACAATCTTCCATTTTCTAACTGAGGACCATGGCCTCAGATCTAGAGGTGCTGATTCTCATCCCAACCGCTTCACACTCGGCTGCGAACTGCTCCAGTGAGAGCTGAAGATCACAACATGATGATGCCAACAGGACCACTTCATCTGCAAAGAGCAGTTTTTGAATCCTGAGGCCACTGAACTAGACTCCCTCTGCCCTCTGGCTGCATCGAGAACTTCTGTCTACAAAAATTATGAACAGAATCGGTAACGATGGGCAGTCCTGGTGGAGTCCAACTCCCACCCTGAAGAGATTCGACTTAAAACTGGCAATGTGAACCAAACTCTTGCACTGCTTGTATAGGGGCAAAACAGTCCGTAACAACGAGCCCCCAATCCCACACTCACCGAGCACCCCCCACAGTTACCTCGAGGAACATGGTCGAAAGCCTTCTCCAAGTCCACAAAACACATAGACTGGATAGGCAAACTCCCCTTGACAACCCTAGTGAGGGTAAAGAGCTGGTCCAGTGTTCCACGGCCAGGAAGGAACCAACATAGTCTCTCTTAATTCTCAACTAAAATGTTTTCAGACATTTATCCCTTTTATTAACAGCCATTTGGCAGTCTGAACACAATCCATCCAGAACCAAGCTGTAGGACTTTTTTTATTTGCTACAGTTTATTTTTTTCTGCTAAGAATTTTAAACTGTTAATTAATATCCTTCACAACAGCAATGTGCATTTTGTTGGAAATTAAGTAATCAAAGTGGATTACAGGATGTTGTTTGGGTGAGTTTCTCTTTGGTTCATTGTTTTTCTCTCATTGTTTCTGGACCCACTGTAGTCACTACATACAGTATATTGTGCTGTGTCAATCGGAGGACAACCGTCTGAGCTGCAAATGTTGCATTTTATGTCTGATGAAACACAGCATTGATCGTATGTTGACGGTGGAGTTACTGTTTGTAGCTCTAATTTTAGATCTGACCACTCAGGCCACATTCAGAAATGGTCCAGAACGCATTCATTCACATTTGTTTAGCAATCTGAACATAAATCTGTCCTGAGCCACACTGAAGGACCACATGCTGATCCGATGTGACCACATTTTTGGGAGGTGGATATCTAAAAGTTTTAATCAACTGATTGAAGAAATGCCAATGAAAAAAGAGATTATATTGATTAGTAGATTAGCCGGTCACTTCATATGTGAGTATTCACTACAACCCTCAGTCCCTTTAAATGAGTCATACAGGCCATACTGTATTTAAAGACTGGCCTTGACTGGAAATGCAGCTACATATGAGACTGCAAGATCCTGAAAATAAATTTTCAAAAGCCAATGACTCATAACCCAAAGCCTATTTAACCCAAAGTAATTCATTGCAGTGGGTGGAAATGGTGAAAAAAAAAAATATATATATAAAACGTACAAGCTGTTTAATTTAAATTTTGGCTTCTGGCATTGTCGAGTCTAGCTGGTCAATGCCGCTTTCATTCCAGTGACATTATGCAGGTTATAAAGGCTGGCTGACTCGGCTGAGTCACAGCGAGAATTTATGACTTTATAATCACCTAATCTGCAGCAGTGGCCATCTAACTCACCCCTGTCATTACACCAATGCTACCAGCATCCATTAGAAAAACAGAATATATATTCTGGAATTAGTGCCATACACACCTGCACAATAGCAAACTCACAGTAAACAAATCAAATGTTTAAAATATGGAATTAAACTAATCTTAAAAACGGAATTTTGAATTTGATGGCAACAACAAACCTCACTCGTCTTGACATTGAGTAATATGCTAAAAGTAAGTGGTACAAATAACTGAAGGAGTATTTTTTTCTATGAACTGGGTTAATTGGTAACAGGTCCGAAAGTACTGGGTATAAAAATAGCAATTTAGGGATGCTGAATCTCTCAGAGGTAAAGACGGGCAGAGGTTTACCAGTCTGCAAAACACTGCAACTAAAAAAAAATAAAATGAAGAGTAAAATTTATTTAACAAAAGATCAGGAAGACTGAATAGCTTATCATCTACTGTTCATAACATATTTTAACTTGTTAGAAAATTTTTTCCCCCATAAATTTTGATCATATCTCACCAGTTTTGTCCTCCCTTCACTGGATCCCTGTACGTAACAGAATTGATTTTAAAATTCTCCTGTTGACCTTTAAATGCCTAAATGACCTTCATACCTCTCTGACCTATTTCAACCATATGTTCCTTCTTGGGCGCTGAGATCATCTGACCAGCTGATTTTGGTTGAAGCTCAGAGGAGATGGGGCTTTTTCAGTCGTAGGCCATAAACTTTGGAACAATCTGCCCCCCCCCGACATTAGACAGACCACTTCACTCCCTGATCTCTTTTAAACACACACCTGTATTCACTGACGTTTAACACCGTGTGATTTCATTTACTATTTTATTCTTCTGTGTTTTTATGTTTTTCTTTTGACGCTTTTAATTAATTTTTGTTTTTTTTCTTCTTTCAATTACTGCCATTGTTTTTTTTTTTAATTATTAAGCACTTTGGTAAAATCTGCTGATTTTAAATGAACTTTATACATAAAGTTGACTTGACCAAGTTGTACAATTTCTTAGTTTAAATGTGTTTACTGTTTAAAAATGTGAATATAATATGGGTTTTAGAGATTTGCAAATCCTTGAATTCAATTTGTATTTACATTTTTACACAATGTACCAACAGTTTGTGAACTGAGGTTGTATTGTCAAAACATTAATTTGCATCTTACCAATATATTGTTTTAGTTCAGTTTCTAAGTTACATACAAATACATAGTATATTCACTTGTAAGAGTACTAGGGATGCACAATATTATCGCATTGTATCGTTATCGACCGATATTAGCGTTAAAAGTTAAATATCGAACATCGGCCATTCCATCAAAATAACTCACCGATATAAAAGACGCTATTTTTGTATGACAAGGATGTCTGCAGCGCCAGCACAACGTGATGACGTCACGTGCACCCACCTGATCTGATCACGGCAGAGAGGAAGAAGTCAAAATGTCGGTGGTGTGGAAGGTTTTTTTCTCATTGAGGATGTCGGATTCCAAAGATTTTTGGACGACGTTGAGCCTCGCTACATCGTCCCCAGTCAGAGATATTTTTTCCCATGTAGCCTTAAACAAGTTACAATCGTCATTTCTGACTTCATTGGGAAGCTAGTAGCTGATAGCACTTGGGTGAGTGTTACCACAGACATTTGGACGTCGTGTTAGCCCCGTTAGCATGATTAGTCTAACGGCACAATGGATAGACTAAAACTTTGAAGTTAAAAAGTCTGTCCTTCATGCACAGGAGTGCAGAGGATCCCACACTGCAGCTATAGGAACCTGGAACAAACCTCAAGTGAAACAGCATCGCAGGCGACTAATGATAATAAATAACACTTAACACTTTTCATTTAATATAAGTTAAAGTACTATGCATATCATATGGCTGTTACTGAATATATGTCACCAGTTCTTACACAATGTTTGTAAATAAGCCTAAATAAGATGCTATGTTCTGACAAAGGAAAGTAAATAAAAAGCATCGGTATCGGTTATCGGCCAAATAAGTTTTAACATATCGGCATATCGGATAAAAATCCAATATTTTGCATCCCTAAAAAATACTATTTTCAGACCTTATAGTTATACCTTTTAAAATATGTAATGTAAACCAAATGTCAACTATAAAAAATTACATCCGAGGACGAGTGTCGGGCTGTTTACCTGTAACTTTTTCTTTTGTATCTCGTCCAGCATGACTGCCAGACACTTGGTGTAGTCTGTCAGATCCTGGTCAGCTGTTTCAATCAGCTTGCAGCCCTACAAACAAATGCAAGTGTACGCAAGAGAAACAAAACAATTCAATATTTATACAAATACACAGATAGCAAACCAAACCCTGGGAAAGATAAGGAATAGCAGAAAAAAAGAAAGAAAAAAGGAATGGAGACATGGAGAGAGGTATAAATCAGTGTTTTAGTGCTGTCTGGCTTCATGTGGGTTGTGTTGTTGAATAATGTAGAGGTTCCAGTCAGTGGCCTTAAACTACAACATCTAGGTAAACAACCGTGCTCTGGCTTTTTCCCTCTCCATCTCTTTCTCTCTCCAGAGTTTCGCTTTGCTCCCGAGTCGCGCTGACTTCCCCGTATCACTGACACGCACATACGGCGCAGAGAGTTCGCCCAAACGTGTTCGCTGTGCTCGGTTTGATCCCATCCATCCACCCTCTGCTTCCATCATGTTTCCATCCCTGCCTCTCTCTGTCTCCCTCCCTCGTGAACGCTTTTCTGTTTCTCTCTTTTCCATTTATACAGAATTATTCACCGTTTGTGGCAAATCTCGAAGGAACGCCTCAAACTTTCCAATTGTTCTGCTTCAAAAGCATTACCATAACAGGCTGTTCCCTCTCAAGGAAAAAGGATTTCTCTCTCTTTTTTCAGACAACCTGTGTGATATTTGTGAAAAGGGTCGAGTATTAGAGATAGCTACAGGGAGAGGGGGATTGGGTGAAAGGGAAAAACAGTGACACAGCTGACTGCATCCCAGAGTCTGTCGTGTGTATGTGAACATGTGTGCATGCATATTAAAGTTGCAATAAACAAAATGACACTGCATAAAGATCACACGCGCTGTGCATTTCTTTTGCTCCGAGGTGTGTGAATATACGTGGGCTTTAATCACAGATTTCCACAGCATTAAATATTTATTAAATCAAGCTTAAAGTGGAAACAATGGAGTAATAAACTTTTAGTTTTTTTATGCCCTTGGACTAAAAAGCTCGACTGTGCCGACCTGAACACATTTAAAAAGTAGCACGACCAGCCTTTGAGGATTTTCAAACCTTGAAATAAATGTTTGTGTCTGGAGATTCAAACGCAAGTGGCCGTCTCTGACTGAGAGTGGCTAAAAAAGTGGACCCCAAAAGGTGTTTTGTTTTGTTTATTGTATCAATTACTAGGCCCGTCACGATAACAAATGTTGCTGGGTTTTTAATTGTCTCTGAAATTATTGCGATAAATGATAATATTGTTTGAAATTTGGCAATAATTAGTAATTATTGTCAAATTTAAGAAGAAACGTTGGTTAATTTGTTTTGGATGTAGTACATTTTGACCAGCAGATGGCAGTATAAGACTGTTTGAACTGAAGGATGGATAGTGAGGGAGGGAGCGAGCGTGTCTCTTTAAGAAAAATGGGAGGGAGGCCCCTTGACGTGACATGGGCTGTCTCTCCTTCCTTTCTTTGGTTCTCAAAATGGTGGATGCTCGGTGTGGTTTGAGCTCTTTAGCAATTTTCACACAAAGCTTTTAATACAAAAATCAGTAAACAAGTTCTCAGCTTGGTTTTGCAGAGAAAAACAACTTTTTAAACAAAGGCACGGGTTTCAACCGTGAACTTTGGAGCTTCGACAAGACGGAGGTTTTTTCACGAGGTCGGCCTGTTAGCTCGTAGCTTAGCTTCTCAGCTTAGCTGCTTTTAACGATCCAAAACCGCAATTTTGGACGAATAAAAATAATTTTAAAGAGAAAAGAGAAAGGGAGGGGTCAGTGAAGAACCGGAGTTGAGCCTTTTGTCGTCCAGTGTCTTCAACAGAAAGAGACGAAGAAACGATGAAGCAGATAAATGAAAATGAGGTTGATAATTTTCATTTATCATGCGATTAATTGATTTATTGTTTATCACGACAGGCCTATCAATTACTCATTATTTGTATAATTGTGTAAAAGTGGGCTGTCAAATCAATGTGACTGCATGTCTGCTGAGGCTTCTGTAAAAAATACAGTACATTCGATCATCTGAACTATGCTATTAATTTAACATTGACACGGTTCAGAACCATTCGAGCTGTTTTACCTAATTACCTTAGTCTGTGTCATGGTCAAAATGGAAGGTTTTAACCCAAAAACCTCCTTGGTACTTTATTTATTTATTTAAACAGCTCCACTCTGATTGTATCATTTGTGTTGCATTTGATTAGGTGATTGTAATGTGAACTAACACTGCTCTAAATGTTATTTTGTGATAGACACAGCACATTTTACTGCACAGCGGCCACAATGGGCACAATTAGCTCTACAAACAATCAGAGCAAGCATTAAACTGAAGAGAATTTCACTCAGGCAATAGTATCAGCTGCTTATTTGGGGTCCTGATTGTTCAGTAAGTTTCAACACTGTGGATGAGAAAGATCTGCTCAAACACACCTCATTTCAAAGGAGGATTAACAGATTTCAACAGAGCACAAAGAGATAATTTAGCCATTGAAGCATGTGTGTTGGAGCATGGAAACAAGTAAAACCTGCAGGATAGTGGCCCTCAAGGACCAGGACTGTTCCAGTCCTGCTCCAGGCTGGCCCACAGAGGTGATCGGACCTTTCCAGCTGTAGCTACAGCACGAGAGTCGACTTTTTATTAATATACTTATTTTTCACTGCCTCTTTTTGTTGATTTTTATTGGTATTTTTTTATTTCTTGAGTGTTTTTATGGTCTCCTGCTTTAGTATCGTCCTCATTATTTGTATTATGTGCAACACTTTGGTCAACGACACTTGCTTTTAAACGAGCTTCATTAAAAAGTTTGATTTGATCCCTGAATCACTGCTTTCTGTACACAATCTGGTAACTGCACACGCAATATGGAGTCCCGTCTAAACAGGGCCTGCGATGCAGAAGGCAACTTTAAAACAAGGGCGTGCAGTTCTGGTCCTCCGGGCCCTGTCCTGCATGTTTTACTCACTTCCCCAATTCAACACACCTGATTCAATGTCTGAGTTACCTCTTCATGTTTTACAAAAGACTGTTAATCATCCATTGATTCAAACCAGGTGTGTTGGAGACAACAAGGACCAGGATTGGACAGCTCTGCTTTAAAAGCGTAGGAGAAACTCATTCTTGTCATATTTACACGTCTTTGCGTCATTCACAAAAATGTATATTTCTTCCAGCTGCACAATCTTTAAACCTTTATTTATTTTGGAATGCTTTATTAACACAAGTATTGTTTCTGTTACATTTTTAGGATTTTTACCATCCCAAGAGGGCGTTCACTTTTTTCTAACTAAATTTTATCACCTGCCTTGTTTAACATTGAGCTTTAAGGCAACGGTAAAACAAATTACTGCATTAAACAATTGACAAATTGCAACAAAACAATTAAGTGGCACCAAGTGACAGTTAGGAATATTGGCATTGCTAAGTAAGTTTAAAAAAATAAAGCTTTTTATATGCATTTCCTGACACGCTACCTCAAAGAAGATTCAGTTACTTATACTAAGGTTGCCTGTCTGCCAAGATCAAGAATCGGAACAGCTCAACGAAGTGTTCTTAGATTGAAACAGGCAGAAAATTCAGAAATCTTTTGTTCAGAGTTGTAAATTTATGCCTGACAAAAGTCATGTTGCTACAGAGTGTACAGCTGTGTGTGTGTGTGTGTGTGGAGGTCTCTTTTCCCACTCACCTTGTCTACATAGAATGCTTTGACCTCAGCAGTAATGGAATCAAAATCCCCACTGATATAGTCAGGAAGAAAGCTGGATGTAGAGACAGAGAGAGACGGTGAGTGGCAGAGGGTTAAGATTCAAAGATGGAGTAAGGTAGCGACGGAGGAAAGAAGGGGAGAGACGACATCGGGGCATGTGTCAGCGCTTTGATCTGTGCAGCGAGGGAGAGGAGTGACGCCGCCGGGGAAGACGCAGAGACACAGAATCTGACAGGGTGATTCTCTGTGGCGCTGAGCCCGGCCCCGTCACGCTCGCAGGGCTGACAGCAGATATACACAGATTGATGGGAACGCATAGCAAAGCAAACGTGTCGGCACACAGAAGCAAAAGTTTGTATATGTGCTCTTATAATTAGGTACATTCTGCCTGATAAGCTCAAACTCATCAACGCTGAGTAATTACAGGCTCCGGGGCAAATTCGCTCATTAGCCACAAACATTTTAATAACGACTTCTCAGTCTTATGGCTTCTCTCACACACATGCAAACAAAAACGGCGTGACTTACCTGGAATTGATTGGATTTCAACCTCAAATATAGCTTTTCTACCTGAGTAAAGTATCCATCTGATTACTAAAGCTGTGTGTATTTTAACATTCTCATAAATGTGCTCAAGAGAGAAAGGAGGTTAAACAAACTAGTGATTATTGATGAAAACTGTATGCATAAAACCAACAAGAGTACCACATACAACGCATTATACACCTGTCAACAAAGTATTACATTGCTACAGATGGCAGCAATGATACATTTGACCTTGATTTGTGACCTTGACCTTAATGCTTGGGTGATGAAACATGTATGTGAAACTCCATATGGTGGTGATGCTATGTGAATTTGTTTTAAGTGAATCAGAAGTTACAGCACGAACAAGCAAAGACCTTGTTTTAACGTTGACCTTTAATTTGTGACCTTGACCTTGAAGCTGGGGTGTACATGACACTTTGTTTAGTGATGATGCAAATCAAGTTTCATGAAATTATCTTGAGCAGATCAGAAGTTATGGGCGGGACAAGAGAGAGTTTACGGACACACTATACCATAATACATCCTATCTTCAATAAACTTATGAAAATAAAGATCTGATTAAATTAAAACAATCGATATAACATAAAAAAATAAATCATTCACAGGAAATCAACTTGGTCTTTTGCAAAATAACATATTTTCTTATTAGCCTTATCTATGAAACGTCAAATAGTGTGTTCTTACCAGACAATGACAATTATTTTGACAATTTAAATTTAAATTATTTGGTATTCACAGCCTTTTTTGAGTATGAGTGCACAAAATTAATGTATGTTAAGTACTGTGGTTGCAGATGAAAGAAACCTTGAATTGCTGGTTATAATTTTTAGGTTTACAAAAATATAGCAAATTTCAAATGTGATTCATTAAAAATAAACTTCTACAGTGTTTCAACACGCTCTTATTCTTTGTTCTTTTGTATTTTTGAAATGTATAAAAAAACACTGATAGGGATAAATATAGTTGCAAATGGATTCATATTGAACAAACAAATCAAAAACCAAGGCACCAGCAAAACATTTACAATGTAATATAAATGTGTACAACAACGTGAAAGCGCTTGTACAGTATTTGGAACTGACAGAATGTTTTACACAAATTCAAGAAGAAATAGGGCGCAACGTTTTCCCTAAAGAATGTGAATAAATTGTGTAAAAACAAAAATGTACAAAGAGATAAGCGTTATTTCACTAAGTCCTACTTTCTACTAGTTTATGACACAAAAAGAACTTTCTCACAGAAAACAGGCATGCAGATAAAAAATAAATTAAAAAAATAAAAAAGCAGCCTGAAAACTAAATCCCCACATCCCAATCTAGATCTGAACACAAGTAATGGGGATGTCTGGGATAAAAACGATTCAAGTGGGATATTAGGAAAGAGTTCCCTCTTTAATTTATTATAGTTAGGTCACTGAGGTTTTTCTGCTGAATTAAGGACTTTAAATATTTAGTCTTCTTTTCACAAGAAGTCAGTGAAAAGAAGCAAACACTGGACAAGAGTGGCCTCTTGGTGGTACTAGAGAGCGCATGGGTGACATCATTTAGGATCAACTAAAATACATCCAAGGACATATAAGAAGAAGAGTACTGAAAATGTGTACTCAAGTACAAGTACTGTTACACTGCTTAAATTGTACTCGGTTACAAGTAAACATACTGGTGTTTTAAAAATACATAAGTAAAAGCACAAAGTACTCTTTTCAAAAACTACTCTGAGTATTACTGGTAATTACTTTTTAACCAATTGATGTTTTATTGTGTTAATAGAAGGCATTCAGTTTGATTTACTTTATATAACGGCTACAGTCAAAGCTCATTCCTCAGACGCTCAGAAGCTCCGTCTTATTTTAGTACCAGACAAACCGATGGCAGTGACAAGAACTAAGATGTTTGCATACTTAGCCAAACTAATAACTCACACATACAAACAATAAAAAGCAATATCATGCAGGTAATTGTACAACCTCGTATTCCGCAATATGTTTTTTGAGGTTAGATATCACCGTAGAGATCAAACAAAGTTCACATCTGGATGCTGTCTCCTTTTCGCCCTCTGTACATGAAACATTCCTCCAGGTACGGCCACGGGCACTCATCGTCAGCCTTTACATCATCGTTTTCTCTGTTGACAGTGTTGTCCTCTGTCTACATTTTGGCTTTTTCTCCAAATTTTCAGTCCATAAAAGACTCTCTGCTCTACGGGGTTGTCCTTCGCTTACGTCATAGGTAAATGGTTCGATCACGATCTGAGAGTCTTATTGATACAAAGATGCAGACGAACGGTTTGAATATCAATTCAAGATGTGGCCGTACTCGGCAGCGACTTCTGATTTTAAAAGTGGCGAAGTACATTACGTGGTCTAAATTGTACTTAAGTATGAGTAAATGTATACAATTGATAGAAATACTCATAAAAGTACAAGTACCCAAAAAGTCACTTAATTACAGTAATGTGAATATTTGTAATTTGTTATATCCACCCCTGCGTATAAGAGCATCCATTTAAAAAAGTCACTACAACGTGCAGGTTTAGAGGCATGAAGCTGGTTTTATTAAATATTTAGACAAGATGATCCTTGTTTAGAGGTTAGTGCACAAGTAACATAAGGTCACTCCTAATGACTGTTTATTATCCATCCATACATCTATTATCTTTACCCACTCCTTCCTTTTCGAGTCACGGGGGTCACGGGGGTCACTGGTACCCATATCCAGCAGACACTGTGCGAGAGGCGGGGACACCCTGAACAGGTCTTCAGTCCATCACAGGGACACATGGAGACAAACAACCATTCACTCTCTCTCTCTCACCTAGGCACAATTTAGAGTTACCAATCAGCCTAACATGCATGCTTTTGGTCTGTGGGAGGAAACTGGAGTACCTGGAGAAAACCCACACAGCACGGAGAGAACCAACTCTGCCCAGAAAGGTGCAGGGATCTGAAATTTGAGCTGGTATCCTTATGGCTGAAAGGTGAAGGCTCTACCAACTGTGCCATCTGGGAACCAGGAAAATGCCATCCAAAATACCTGGTTAGAAGTTTATTTAAAGATTTTTTTGCCAAAAAAGCAACTGGTTTTAGTTTTTACTTTAATTCAAACCGAATTATCCCAGTCTTTGTGTCCTCAAAACAAGCATTCTAGTATATGTACTAGAATGGTCATTTCTAACCCGGCCCTGCCGGCCCTAGATTCGGACCGGGCTGGGCCATAATAATGTGCTTAATGTGTGGGCTGGGTCGGTGTTGGACTTTTTATTGCGACAGGGACATGCACGGCTGACTATCCAAACAGGGGAGATCACAAAATATCTGACGTGAGAGCAGGGTCCAATGCAGGAAGAAGCAGGGGAAGCATTTAATGCGCTTTGATGGCTCCTCAGCTCTGATCTTCTACCCCTTTACTCAGCTGTGCGTGTCCACCAACCATTAATAATAGTCTGTGGTATAAGAAGTCAAAGCTTAATTAATAATGTCGGGGTTTTTTCAGGTTCGGACCTGTAATTACTGTTAATTCAACGGATTGGGTGGGGTTCGGAGATGATGGCTGTGGGCTGGGTCGGATTTTTTGGACCCGAGTGCGCCTCTTATTTGTACTGGTACATGTATGTTTTTTGATTGATTCACCTAATCATGCATAAAAAGTAAAAAAAAAAAAGTCCAAGTTCAGAACACTGTTGAATCATTTTTACCTTATATACAATAAATTGTAAACTGTGAAGAAAGTTTAGAAATCTAATTGCTTTGAATGAATGAATAAATGTTTTGAGCATGAACTTTGATGTTTTGAACCACTTTGGCCAGACTGAAAAGTCTTTCGGATGAAAGACAAAACTTTTTTCCTACATTTTTTTTTGTTTGTTTGTTTTTTGAACCCCCTTCCAGAGGACCTGACAACTTTTTCAGATGTTTCTACCTGGATTATTGAGCATGCATCAGGACACTTTGGCCATGGCTGCCTCAAACAAGTCAACGGAGGAGAAGGCGGAATCCAGAAACCATCTTATCACCATCAAACTGGTTGACCCACTATGTGAGTGTGCTGCTTATGGGACTGTGTTTGTTGTGGCTCCTCAGACTGATGAAGTCCTTTGGATGAAAGACGAAATGATTCAACACAAAGAAACCATCCAGAGGACCTGACTTAAATTTGCTGAATTCTTTACCCGGATTATTGAGCATGAACTTTGATCTAATTGCTTTCGGTTTTCGCATTTTTAAAATTCTCTTTCCAGTATGTTTTGTAGCAACCTGAATTCCCAGAGTGAGGGCTTTTATTGTTGTTCTTGTTTCTATTTGTATTACGGTACTCTCACATTCAAACACAAATAAAAAGAGCCAAAAATTTTCCATCTACTACTGAATAAGCTTTTTGTCATAGGAGGTAGATAAACATGTTGTTTTCAGTTTTATGTGTTCGTGTAGATTCTTAGGGAAGAGTAGGACCATGCAGGGATGCAGTTGCTGCTATCTAGAGGCATTAATAGGTCTGACATTAGGAT